CTCTGTTCTCACCTCTGTCTCCATTCCGTCAAGCAGCGGCAGTGCGTACTGAGTCCATGAAAACTAGCAAGAGACCGAAGGAGGTGGCAACAAGAACAAATTGGTTTATTAAAGCAGATGCAGCGCTAATAGTAGTTCACTGATGGGAAATCAGTTTTGTTGAAATGAGAATATATCCGGCTGAAGACCATTCATGTCCCCTCTCAAATTCGTATAGATTTAAAGAAAAAGTTCATCCATTTGAAAAAACATCCATTCAAAAAAAAAATCTTCAATTTAAAAGAAAATCAACGAATCTGTAAAAAGTTCATCCAATTTGAAAAAAGTTCCTCTATTCTGAAAAGATGTCATCAATTTTGAAAAAAGTTCATTGATTTTAAAAAAAAGTTTATCAATTTGAAAAGATTTCATCGATTTTAAGAAAAAGTTCACGAATTTGAAGAAAAAGTTCACGCATTTAGCAAAAAGAAAAAGAGCCGAACAAAACCGTTCCAAGAAAAGAGAAAAAGTTCCGCAACCAAAAAGTGGATAAAAAGGAAAAAGTATGTGATCAGTCGAGATGGCCCAGTGGTTAGTTCACTATCCTCTAAACAGAGAGATCTTTGGTTTGAACCTGGAAGTCGCACCATTTTTTAGAAGTGTTTAACGAAAAAGGAGAAAAGGTTAGACAGGGCCGGGCCAGCTCGCAGGAGGAGCGTCCGTTTGCCAAATTCCCTATAACGGCGCCTGAAGCGTCAAATAGGATCTGCCCTGGAGTCCTTCCTTTTTTTGAGTGGGAACTGGGGTCCTCCTATTCAGGGCTTTTACCAACAAATAGCCGAGCAAAGGGTCTTAAGTATTCTATATGGGCTGTCAATTGCACAGCCCAATAATTCACTTTATATATTTTGAAAAAAAATTGACACATTTTAAAAATATTATGAAAATTCATATATTGCGAAGAATGGAAAATGCCCATTTATCTCAATACAATAACCATACATATATATGCAACGAAAGTTTCATCCTCGCGCTTTAAAATGCTTATGTGTAGAAATAAAATATTCATCTATTGTTTTTGAAGGATCATATAATTGAAAAGTTGTTCGTTCATGTCTGGATACATGTTCATATACCTAAAAACAATGTTCAAGAATTTTTGTAGAAAATAAAAGAAGATTGCAAGAATTAAAAAGCATAAGTAAAATAAATAAAAATATAGGAAATAAAATTGAAGAAAATGGACAACAGAAAAAAACGATGAAAATGAAATGAAAAAGTGTGAAATATCCATCAAATATATGTGTAGGTTTTGAAATTAAATTTAATGGAGGAAACATTAATCTGTTTAACACTAGATACCCTGAAATGCAACGTGTAGAATTTTAAAAACACTAGAATTCTTTCTGAATTTCTTAACAATTTGTGGAAGCTAAATATTTGAACTTTTAAAAATGGTGATAAAACAAAATTGTGGAATCTATGAAATAAATAAATTTTATGAATAATCCATAAAAGATCATTTGAATACTTATTTTGGATGAATGGGAATCTGCCCTAATTGTTTGACCTCTTGTCCTCTAATTGGTGGCAAGAGACCAGGGAATTCAACAATACAAAACTGAGCGTACATCCATCCATACTGTACTTTTGAAAACTAATTCGAACTTGAATGTCTGTATATCATATTTCGACCAATACAACAACGACGTCAGTGCTTATTCCGACTGTTGTGAAGAGTTGATCATATTTCCATGTGACAAATGCGCTGGCACAAAACGCTTTTGTCTTCTGAAGACGATCTGTGGGGGGTTCAAGATTAAGATTTGTGGAGGCTCGGTCATTGTATGACAAACCAGCTTAGTAAGTAGAAATAATGAAAACCCGGCCGTCTTTGTATGCATTCCATCGACCGCGCGGAGGAAACAATGGAAAAAAGTGCGCCATCCGCGTTGGTATGCAAGCTAGCCTCGTAGTGAATGCCGTAGCATTCTTCCTTGCAGCTGGACGTACAAACTTAGCTACGCGGAGTCTAGTTCAGGGGGTGTTTGGTTCCAGAGACTTTTTTGTGTTGGGATTAAAAAAAGTCCCTAGCAAACCAAACAGGGGGACTTTTTTGAGACTTTTTGCTAAAAGTCCTTAGAAATACCTCCTTGAGAGTCTTTTTCAAAAAGTGACGCCAAGAGCCGCACCAACCCCGCCGTCCACCGGTGGGTCAACGCTCTCGAGACGGCCACTTACCTAGCCGATGACTTACTCGACGACTGTCAACAAGTCTGTCAACTGTCAACAAGCACTTGAATATTTGTTGCACGCGTTCTTGCATGCTTTCACAAAAATCAGTGGTAAATTCAGTTGCGAAGCCAATTTCTCACTCCAGCTAGCTCTGTGTTCAGTTTAGGGTTTTAATTTGGAAACAGAGGCTTTCAATTTCAGTTTAAGGTTTTCATTTGGAAAAAGGAAGCCTTTTTTATTTTTTGTTTTCATTCCAGGTGCTGAGCTACTTCGCCGTCAATAGCCCGGTTGTTTTCCGTCTTTCCATGAGCAGCAAGACGAGGCATGCACTTGAGATGATAGATGAACAATTTCCACTTTCTGCAACATACTGAGGCGCCAAGTGTCATTCATCCGAAAGCGCACATTTTGGATTTGAAGTGGATACTAATGCACAAGGAATATTAGAGGCCCTTCGTCTTGACAAAAGGCTTGAAGTTTTACAGTTATCTAATTATACCGGTGCTAAATTGTCATCATGGATGCACAAATGTTAGAACATGTCAGTGAACTTTGTCTAAGAAAGTGCAGGCACTGCACTTGCCTTCCACCACTATGGCAGCTGCCCTCTCTTAGGTACTTTGAGTTGGAAGGTATGCATAACTTGAGAAGTATGTGTGCTGGTAACGATGAAACAGACAATAATGGGAAATCCTTTATTAATTTGTCCGTCCCCCTTCTTTCCTAAATTGGAAACTATGATAGTTAATGGCATGCCTAGACTGGAGAGATGGCACCAGGAGGTGGCAGGACAAGTATCAGCTGCATCATTCCCTCAACTTAAGATGCTAAAGATGTCTGGATGCCGAATGATAGATACACTACCAGATGGACTCCTTGAGCAGCTTCTAGCCCTCAAGTAGCTGCATGTCAGAGAGTGCCCCAACCTGGAGGGAGCCTTCTTCACACGGCGTGCTTACTGGGATTTGGTTCAAGCAATTTCGAATAGATCAGTTGTCCCTAACCCGAATGAAGGAAGTCCACAGACTTGCATTTTCGGTGGTGGAGTTAGTCCACGCTAGGAGGTGTAGGCATCACGGGAACAGATTTCTCGGATGAGCTACTTTTCAAATTGAGACTAGGTACAATTACTTCATCAAGTTCTACTTTCCTCTCACTCACTTCTTTCAAGAGAAACTCCTTCTCTAGAAAGGTTCCGTTCTTAGCAACAAAAACATGGCCTTCGGACTTGTGGTAGAAGGTGTACCCAATTGTTTCCTTAGGGTATCCTATGAAGACGCACTTCTTCGATTTGGGTTCGAGCTTATCAGGCTGATGCCTTTTGACATAAGCATCGCATCCCCAAACTTTTAAGAAACGACTGCTTAGGTTTGTTGTCAAACCACAGTTCATACGGTGTCGTCTCAACAGATTTTGATGGTGCCCTATTTAAAGTGAATGCAGCTATCTCTAATGCATAACCCCAAAACGATAGCGGTAAATCGGTAAGAGACATCATAGATTGCACCATATCTAATAAAGTACGGTTACAACGTTCGGACACACCATTACGCTGTGGTGTTCCATGTGGCATGAGCTGTGAAACTATTCCACATTGATCTAAATGAAGGCCAAACTCATAACTCAAATATTCTCCTCCACGATCAGATCGTAGAAACTTTATTTTCTTGTTATGATGATTCTCTACTTCACTCTGAAATTCTTTAAACTTTTCAAATGTTTCAGACTTGTGTTTCATTAAGTAGATATACCCATATCTGTTCAAATCATCTCTGAAGGTCAGAGAATAACGATACCCGCCACGAGCATCAACACTCATCGGACCGTATACATCGGCATGTATTATTTCCAATAAGTCATTAGCTCATCCCATTGTTCCAGAGAATGTAGTTTTAGTCATTTTGACCATAAGGCACGGTTCGCAAGTATCAAATGATTCATAATCAAGTGATTCCAAAAGCCCATCAGCATGGAGTTTTTTCATGCGCTTTACACCAATATGACCTAAACGGCAGTGCCACAATTATGTTGCACTATCATTATCAAATTTGCATCTTTTGACATCAATATTATGAATATGTGTATCAATACGGTCGAGATTCAATAAACCATCAACATTGGGTTTATGACCATAGAAGGTTTTATTCATGTAAACAGAATAATAATTATTCTCTGTCTTAGATGAATAATCGTATTGCAATAAACATGATTTAATCATATTCATGCTTAACGCAAACACCAAATAACATTTATTTAGGTTCAACACTAATCCCGAAAGTATAGGGAGTGTGCGATGATGATCATATCAATCTTGGAACCACTTTCAACATACATCATCACTTCACCCTCAACTAGTCTCTATTTATTCTGCAACTCCTATTTCGTGTTACTAATCTTAGCAACCGAACAGGTATCAAATTCCCAGGGGCTACTACGAGCACTAGTAAGGTACACATCAATATAAAATATACCTTTGTTCACTTTGCCATCCTTCTTATCCGCCAAATATTTGGGGTATCTCCGCTTCTAGTGACCATTTCCTTTGCAGTAGAATCACTCAGTTTCAGGCTTAGGTTTAGGTTTGAGCTTCTTCACGGGAGTGACAACTTGCTTGCCATTCTTCTTGAAGTTCCCTTTCTTTCCCTTTGCCCTTTTCTTTAAACTAGTGGTCTTGTTTAATCATCAACACTTGATGCTTTTTCTTGATTTCCACCTTTGTCAATTTCAGCATCACGAAGAGCTTGGGAATTGCTTTCGTCATCCCTTGCATATTATAGTTCATCACGAAGTTCAGTAACTTGGTGATGGTGAATACAGAACTCTGCCAATCACTATCTTATCTGGAAGATTAACTCCCACTTGATTCAAGCGATTGTAGTACCCAGACATTTTGAGCACATGCTTAGTAGATGAGTTCTTCTCCTCCATCTGTTAGGCGAAGTACTTGTTAGAGGTCTCATACCTCTCAACACGGGCATGAGTCTGAAATACCAAATTCGGCTCTTGGAACATCTTATATGCTCCGTGGAGTTCAAAATGTTTTTGAAGTCTCGGTTATAAGCCGTAAAGCATGGTGCACTAAACTATCAAGTAGTCATCATATTGAGCTAGCCAAACATTCATAACTTCTGCATTTGCTCCTACAATAGGTCTGTTACCTAGCGGTGCATCAAGGACATAATACTTCTAAGCAGCAATGAGGATAAACCTTAGATCACGGACCCAGTCCGCATCATTGCTACTATCATCTTTCAACTTAGTTTTCTCTATGAACATATCAAAAAACATAGGGGAGCTACAACACGAGCTATTGATCTACAACATAATTTACAAATACTATCAGGACTAAGTTCATCATAAATTAAAGTTTAATTAATTATATTACTTAACAACTCCCACTTAGATAGACATCCCTCAAGTCATCTAAATGATATGTGATCCAAATCAACTAAACCATGTCCGATCATCATGTGAGATGGAGTAGTCATCAATGGTGAATATATCTATGTTGATCATATCCACTATATGATTCACGTTCGACCTCTCAGTCTCTAGTGTTCTGAGGCCATATCTATATATGCTAGGCTCGTCAAGTTTAACCCGAGCATTCCGCATGTGCAAAACTGGCTTGCACCCATTGTATTTGAACGTAGAGCTTATCACACCCGATCATCACGTGGTGTCTCTGCACGAAGAACTTTCGCAACGGTGCATACTCGGGGAGAACACTTATACCTTGAAATTTTAGTAAGGGATCATCTTATAATGCTACCGCCGTACTAAGCAAAATAAGATGCATAAAGATAAACATCACATGCAATCAAAATATGACATGATATGGCCATCATCATCTTGTGCTTTTGATCTCCATCACCAAAGCAACGCCATGATCTCCATCATCACCGGCTTGACACCTTTATCTCCATCGTAGCATCGTGGTCGTCTCGCCAAGTATTGCATCTATGACTATCGCTACCACTTAGTGATAAAGTAAAGAAATTACATGGCATTTGTATTTCATACAATAAAGCGACAACCATATGGCTCCTGCCAGTTGCCGATAACTTCTATAAAACATGATCATCTCATACAACATCTTTATATCACATCATGTCTTGACCATATCACATCACAACATGCCCTGCAAAAACAAGTTAGATGCGCTCTACTTTGTTTGTTGCATGTTTTACGCGGCTTCTACGGGCTTCTAGCATGAACCGTACTTACCTATGGCACAAAAACCACAACGGTGATTTATCAAGTTTGCTGTTTAACCTTCACAAGGACCAACCGCAGTCAAATTTGATTCAACTAAAGATGGAGAAGCAGACACCCACCAGCCACCTTTATGCAAAACTAGTTGCATGTCTGTCGGTGGAACCGGCCTCATGAACGCGGTCATGTAAGGTTGGTCTGGGCCGCTTCATCCAACAATACCGCCGAATCAAAATAAGACATTGGTGGTAAGAAGTATGATGATAACCACCCACAACTCTTTGTGTTCTACTCGTGCATATCATCTACGCATAGACCTGGCTCGGATGCCACTATTGGGAAATATAGCATGGAATTTCAAAAACATTCCTACGCTCAAGCAAGATCTATCTAGGAGATGCATAGCAACGAGAGGGGGAGAGTGTGTCCACATACCCTCGTAGATCAAAAGCGGAAGTGTTAACTTAACGCGGTTGATGTAGTCGAACGTCTTTTCGAATCAACCGATCAAGTACCGAACACACCTCCGAGTTCTGCACACGTTCAACTTGATGACGTCCCTCGAACTCTTGATCCAGCAGACGGTCGATGGAGTAGACGAGTTCCGTCAGCACGATGGCATGGTGACAGTGATGATGATGTGATACGCGCAGGGGTTCGCCTAAGCACTATGAAAATATGACCGGAGGAGTAAACGGTGGAGGGGGGCACCGCACACGGCTAAGAAACAACTGTTGTTCTTTGGGGTGCCCCCTGCCCCTGTATATAAATGAGGAGAGGGGAGGAGGCTGGCCCTATGGGGTGCGCCAAGTGGGGGGAGTCTCACTAGGACTCCTAGTCCTAGTCAGCTCCCCCCTTCCTTCCAACGGAGGGGGAAAAGGGAAAGAGAGGGAGAGGGAGAGGGAAAGGGGGGTCGCGCCCCCTCCCCTAGTCCAATTCGCACTCCCCATTGGGGGGGGCACCTCCTCGTGGCCTGCCTCTCCTCTCCCCTACGGCCCATTAAGGCCCAATAGTTTAGTGAGCTGTTCCGGTAACCCCTTAGTACTCCAAAAAAATACGCGAACCACTCCGAAACCATTCCGTGTCCGAGTATAACCTTCCAATATATCAATCTTTACCTCTCGGCCATTTCGAGACTTCTCGTCATGTCCGTGATCTCATCCAGGACTCCGAACAACCTTCGGTCACCAAAACACATAACTCATATAATATATATCATCATCGAACGTTAAGCGTGCGGACCCTTCGGGTTCGAGAACTATGTAGACATGACCGAGACACCTCTCCAGTCAATAACCAATAGCGGAACCTGGATGCTAATATTGGTTCTCACATATTCTACGAAGATCCTTATCGGTCGAACCGCAATGTCAGCATACGTTATTCCCTTTGTCATATGTATGTTACTTGCCCGAGATTCGATCGCCGGTATCTTCACACCTAGTTCAAACTCGTTACGGGCAAGTCTCTTTACTCGTTCGATAGTGCATCATCCCGCAACTAACTCATTAGTCACATGGCTTGCAAGGCTTCATATGATGTGCATTACCTAGAGGGCCCAGAGATACCTCTCCGATACTCGGAGTGACAAATCCTAATCTCGATCTATGCCAACCCAACAAACACCTTCAGAGATACCTGTAGAGCATCTTTATAATCACCCACTTACATTGTGAAGTTTGATAGCACATAAGGCATTCCTCCGGTGTCCGGGAGTTGCATAATCTCGTAGTCAGAGGAATATATATTTTACACGAAGAAAGCATTAGCAATAAGACTGAACGATCATTATACTAAGCTAACGGATGGGTCTTTTCCATCACATCATTCCACTAATGATGTGATCCTATTTATCAAATGACAACTCATGTCCATGGCTAGGAAACTTAACCATCTTTGCTCAACGAGCTAGTCTAGTAGAGGCATACTAGGGACACGGTGTTTTGTCTATGTATTCACACATGTATCAATTTTACGGTTAATACAATTCTAGCATGAATAATAAACATTTATCATGAATAAGGAAATATAAAATAATAACTTTATTATTGCCTCTAGGGCATATTTCCTTCAGCACCTAATTTCTAAGAAACAGAGGCACACAGTCCAAACTATCACGCCGAGTCATGTTAGAATTAGTACGGGCATATCACCTTCACTCCACATTTAAATCAGCTTGCCACCAGCTTTATTACTTTCTCATTGCAAGCCATCACAAACTGAAACCTTTTCGATTTCTCCCCAATATATGTGTTAGTTTAGTTTTTTGCAATAACTACCAAATGCCCGATCCAATAGTATATTATTGCCTATGATTTTGTTTATCCCATGATCATGTGTCAAACATTTATGATTTTTTTTATCAAATTATTGAAAAATGGACTGGCGCAGCAACACACACCATCAATGATCTAATTAAATTTAAGTGTTGCCATCAGCTTCGAAGGTGGGGTAGATAGTGATTTGCTAATTTTTGGTTGCTTGAGAAATAGTCGTTTCCTAGTCGATCTTTCTGTATCATGGTAGTTTTTGTCTGCATTCATTATAAGTTTGAATTTAGTTCACCATAAGCAACATCTATATTTTATTTAACAAATTTATTCATGAATAAATTTAAAAAGTTTGCCATAAACCATTTTTGTGTTCATGCCAACTTAGCAATCTACTTACTAGAATTCTGAATTTAGCTCATTGCTACTTTTTTGGGTTCATGATAGGGTTTGATTTGGTTTACTTAACTCTAACAATTTGATAATCAACTAGTTATTTCTCAGACACCCCAATGCATTTACAAATACAAAATTTAGAAAAGTTTCTGTCTTGTTCGCATGAAATTACTGATTTTTCATAAATATTATCTATCACTTACAAAATTACTATTTTGCGATTTTGTCTGAACAGTTCGAGGTGAGGTAACCCATCTAAACTGCATGCATTGAACTGCATAACATTGATTGGTGAAGTTGGACAAAAAAAAAATGAAATCCTAACAAAACTGTAAAGAAGTGAACTTTCACAACAAGGTGAACTTTCCAACAACGAGGCAACTTCCATACAAAAAAGTAAACTTCCCAACAAAAAAGAACTTCACGAATAAACAATAAATAAAAAAAGAGTTTACCTTATTTCTTTTGGTAAAGGTTATAATATTCAATTTTGTGGGTTGTGTGCATTATATTAATGCAGTGGTTGGGAGATCAATGAACGAGTTCCTTGAAATGATCCCCTATGGTAGATGTGTACTGTTAGGGAATACACGAGAACAAATAATTTGACCATTAGTGACAATAACCTTTGTCATAGATAAAGACATTATAGATGGAAGCAAATAGCTACAAGTATTCAAGGAAATGTAAGACATTATGACAGCCGTTTTGCCACATAAAACTACGGAGTGCGTAGGAGTATTCTTGGGGTTTGATACAAATACATATTATGATTACATAAGGTACACATATGTGAGCTACTTATAGTAAGAGCATTTGGTTTTGCAAGTGTAATTCATCTAAGGGGAACACGAATAATTGGACGCACAAATAGGTTGACCTTTCTTCGAGCAGTGACTCCGAACTCCTCTGTCATGTCTACTTCACCTGGTTCAACTCCGAGAGGCAGCTCCCAGTTAAAATGGTAAAGAAGGCTAGCCAAAGCAATCTCAAGGTTTGCATACGCAAATTCAATCCCAGGGCAAATCCGCCGCCCAACACCGAAAGGAGTGAACTCGAAGTCCATGCCTCTCAAGTCGGGAACACCCTCGCCTTCGAACCTCTCTGGCATGAACTTGTCCGGCTCATCCCAATACTTGGGGTCCCTACAGATTGCCCATGTGTTGGTAAGCACAATCATTCCTCGTGTTACATCATATCCTTGAATCTTGCAGTCTCCCACACACACTCTAGCCAAGAGCGTGGCAGGAGGGTGTAGTCGCAAGGTCTCTTTAATAACTGCCCTGAGGTATTGCATGCTCTTTAGTGCGACCTCTTGTACTATAGCCTGTCCTGCGAGAGCACAATCTACCTCAGACTGCACGCGCCGCATCACCCTTGGGTTGGCCATTAGTTCAGCCATCGCCCATTGTAGAGTAGTAGCTGTGGTGTCAAGTGCTGCACCAAAGACTTCCTGTTGGGAGGGATACAAGGAAGTAATATCAATCAAAATCAAAAGGCTGTAAAACTATTAGTAGTAGAGAGGAGGATATAATATATACGACTTATAAATTATAATAAGATAGCACAAGTTGTTTCTTAGATGGCTATAACCAGGCCTAAATATAAGGGTGTGGCTAGCTCTTGTATTAGTCGACTGGGATTTAATCAAGTCTTAGTCAAATGATATGCATGCATGTAAGAAAGAAAAAACTTAAAACTAAAAAGAAAAAAAACTGCACGGATCTAAATGCAAATCTCATGATTATAGTATCGACTAAGACAAAAGAAAGATTTAGAAAGATTGTAAATATAAAGCCTTACTATGAGGAGTGTCCTTATGACTCCGTGGGTCAGGGAAACTGGCGTATTGGCATCTTTTTGGATCCTGAGTAACGCATGGACCATGTCCTGCTCGTGCTCGTCATCTCCATCTCTGGCTGCCCTCCTCTCCTCGTGACTCTTGAGGATGCTGTCCATAACGTTCAACACCTCCTCACGCTGCCGCTCCGCCTTGCCGCGGCGGCGGCGCACGAGTCGAACTAGCCACGACGAAGGGAAGAGGTCTCGAAGATCAAAAATCGATGACAGGTCCACTCCTTGCTTGACGATCCTCAGAATCGTGGCCCTATCGGGCAGCCTGTCCCCAAAGATGGCACGCACTACCGAGTCTGTCACGAACTCTTCCAGCCGCTGGCCGATGTCGACGAGTCGACCGTCGGACGTCGCCTCAGCCTGAAGCGACGAGAGCAGGCGCGCCGCCTCCTCCTCGCGGATCCGTCGGAACGCCTCGACGCGCCGCGCGCTGAGCAGCTCCGTCACCAGGATCCGGCGGAGAAGCCGCCAGTGGTCGCCGTAGGGCGCGAAGACGATCCCCTGGCCGTGCCTCGAGTGCTCGTCGATGCCCGGGCTGCTTAGCCGCGTCGAGAAGGCGGCCTCGTTACCCTTGTAGATCTCCCTCGCGGCCTCGGCGGAGGAGACGACGATGGCCTCGCGCTCGCACACGCGGAGCAGCATCAGCGGGCCATGGCGGAGGGAGAGGTCGCGCATGATGTGGTGTGGGAGCCCGCGCAACAGGTGGTGCAGGCTGCCGATGATGGGAAGCTGCCACGGACCGGGAGGCAGCTTCGGGCGGGGACGCCTGGTGGCAGCGGCGGCGGCGGCGCGTAGGACGGCATGGTAGAGGAGAGCTAACAAGATGCATAGGGCCAAGTGGTACGAGTAGTATGGCAGCGTGAAGAGCTCCATGTGCGCCAAAGGGTTACGCGTGCGTATCTACAACAGACTAGCAGACCGAAGCATGTATTTATACTAGTCGTCAACCCGTGCAGTTGCACGAGCTAGTATTATTAATATGCACACATTTTTATAAACATGAGTAGAAACTTTTAATAGCCTAGTCTTTAATTGAGAACACTTCTTTTAACATTCTTCTGTTATATATTACATGAGATAGTTTCTCTTGGTTATTAGTCATGGAAAATCAATTATATGTCGTTTGGCAAGAACTCACCATGTGCACAAACATTGCAGTATAGTGGCTAGTTCTCCTTTGGAGCCTAGTGGCAATCAAAGTTGAGAGTACAACATGCGTGCTCAGATTGGACAATTACTCAAAGGAGCATACCCGCAAAAAATGAAAACCTAATAAACAGAACACTCTTTATGTAGAACATGGAAAATTACTTTGGTGATGTTCTTAAAGTCCAAACCTATGGTTGTAAATATTATGTGTGAAATGAACAAATGAAATAAATCTAAACAAAAAGAAGGCATGGGAAAAATTCATAACCTGCAAATGTCATAGATGCTTTAAGCCCAACTAAATGACGTTAGAATGCTTACCATATGTTGTATCCCTATTTGTGTCAAAAATACTCAAATTCCCTATGTATTAAATAATGTACAGAGCCGCCTCCTCCTCCCAACCCTAGCCGCCCCTCCTCCTCACCCCCTCCCCTCCTCCCTCCCTCGCCGCCGCCTGAGGCAGCCGTCGGGCAAGCCCGGGGCGCCAAGGATGGTAGCGGCGGGGCCTCGGTTGCCCTGCTCATGTGTGCGGAACCCTGGATCTGGAGCAGCGGCTCCATTGGCAAGGCATGGCCGGCTAACAGCCGTGCGGGTGGTGGATCCGGTGTCCCGGCCGCGCGGGCGGCCGGATCCGGTGGTCGTTGGCCGCCGGCAGCAGCTTATGCGGCGGTCGGTGTGCGCGATTTGGCGCGTCCCTTCCTCCCCTGTTCGGCGTGCGGGCCAGCCTGGTCGGGCCGTGCTTCCTCTTGGTCGCCGGTTCTGTACAGGAGGTGCTGTTCGTGGCGGAGATCTGATTCGGGCGAAATCCCTGGCCGGCCATGATCGGCCGCGCTGACGGCAACGCCTCAGGGCATCGTTTCCCTCTTTGGAGGCGTCGGTATGGACTAATCTCCTCACTTCACCTTCCCCTAGGTTTCCCGGGCGAAAGCCCTAACTCTGTTGGGCGGTGGCGACGCTCACGGCGCCGTTCCCTTCTTGAAGGCGTCGCTTTGGTAACCTTGGGGTTGGGTGGCGCTTGTTGGTGGTGGGCGACAGCGGTGGTGCGGCCCTTTCCTAGCATGGATTTATGTCCGTTGCTTGGAGATGGAGTCACGTAGGTGGAGGTCGTCGGCTGGCGTCGTGGTGGCGTCAATGGCGGAGGACCTGCCAATGCTCGCGTAGGTGGAGGTCGTCGTTTGGCGTCGTGGTGGCGTCGATGGTGGAGGACCTGCCAAGGTTGTCACCTCAATCTGCTATGAAGACGGACCAGTGGAAGATGGCGGCGACGACACATGTGAGTGCGTCAGACCGATTTGAGCCCCCGACCCGGCAGATGGCTCGGTCGGGGCCTCCGGTGAGAGGTATGGGTATGTGGCCCAACTTGCACCCCTTCATCATTTGGATAGGAGTAGCGGCAGATGCTGCCAAGATGGCGGATTCAGGCATATTGTTGTTATACCTTGTAAGGTCCTCAAGAATAATCAATAAAATGGCCGTATGCATCTCCCAGATGCAGAGGCCGGGGATCATCCTCCTTTTCGAAAAAAAATTATATAATGTACATTGATATGTACAACAGACACCCCGAAATGAAAATAATGTAATAAAATGATCCATCTATAATATGCTTATTTGGAAGGTTAAACTATGGAAACTAATTAATCCTCTTCGTATTTGGTGCGAAATTTTGACTAAAGAATTAACTGACAATATATTAATGCATGTCACGAAAAATTATATCGTTGGATTTATATTTGAACATTGTTTCTAATTATATTATTTTCTATGACATGCATTACTATTTTCTTAGTTAAATTTAAGGTCAAAATTTGGCACTGAATATGAAAGGGACCAATAAATCAGGACGGAGGTAGTTGATTGCACCTAGCGTTTGTCAACTAAAAGATGGGGGCTAGAGATAAAATAATTGTACTCAAAGACGTAGTTTTCCGACAAAAAGGGATCTGCAACTAATAAAAGCGGTCTGGGAGTTTAGACTAGCCACAGTGGAGAATAACATACACATATCCTTAGACTATGCATGACTGAACGGCCATGCATAACAACCAGCCGCATGCACTGAACTGCCATGCACAAAGCTAGAAGGAGGCGGTTGAACACGACACGGAGCTGCCAGCGGCTCCGAGTGCCAGCGACTCAGACTTGTCCTCAACTAGATTGAAGATGATATTTTTCCTGTCCATAACCTGCTGCAAGCTTTCCCTGTTGTATTGGATTGGATCCCTTGTGCTAACCAAGGGTAGCGTGCCGGCCAACTTCACGACAGGGAAACAAGACAACTTCCCTCTCCGTTTATAATGGCCTTTCGTTCCTCTTGGCTGGCACTGGATAGCAGCCATGCGGAGGTAGGGAACAAAGATCAGCTCCATTGCCGTCTCTTCATTTGTCTCTGATGGAGATGATCTCCATAGACGACATGCTGGCTGTGGCTTAAAAGGCAGGAAGAAGAGAAGCGATGCAGCGTTTCTTTCGCCTGCTCAGTTTTGAAAAAGGAGGTCGACGGTTCTTTTTTTTTTTAGGAAGAGAAAATAATGTGGTTTTGAATATACTGTAGTTTTAATACCACTGTTTTCTCTGATAGCCAAACAACTCTTAGGAATTAAAACTGTGGTATTAATTTTAGAAAACTCTAGTATTCTCTGAATACTTAGAAAAAACTTTGTTACCAGGGCCTCATATTGCATTGGTTGGGACATGTGATGTTACAGTAACTAGCTAAGTTACTCAAACTACCTCTCTCCTCGTTAACTCATTGCCACATAAGCAGATTTACTGAGTTGGACTCGATGTTACTGCTGAACTTACTCCCACCGTGGCCAGTCCTGGTCTCTTTGTCATGATAGGAGCCTTAGATGCAATCAACGTGTACATAACAACACAACGACGGAAGAGCTGCGGCGAGACTAAGCTAGGGTGAGTTGGTCAGACCTAGGGTGGTGCACGAGGATTAGCTATATGGCGAGTACCTGGACCGGGACCGCGCGCTGCCCTTGATATGGGAACCCAGCCTGCAAGGTCAAACCCTCACACATGAGAGGAGGCCGCCGGTAGAGCAGCCCTGGACTGGACAGACCGAATATAAGTGAAAGGCTTCAAGGAATGTACATGCAGAGTTGCAGACCTTGCTCCACCATGGTGCTTCTCTGTTTTTTAGTACGAAAGTTAGTGAGATAACATCAGAGGCAGGAGCCAAATAAATTGGTGGAATTAACCATCATGTGTGGCGCCGAACTTGAGCAATCACCGGCGTTGTGTGTGGCCCGTTATTCCGGCAGATCACTCCAGGAACCAAGCAATCAAGCTTAGGCTAGCGAGGTTTCTTACGTGTGTTCTTATAGGAACCAAGCAAAGGTGCTTAATCCCGTGTACTTTGTCTCGGTGGAAAGCAATTTGCTGAAGCCCGCGTATCCGTACGTCTTCATGGCGGAAGGAACTCTCATCAAAGCGGCATACCATCCGGATGTGCACCAATATAAATTCTACCTCACAAATTAATTGCGTTTAATCCGTCAGTTGAAAAGCAATAACCTGATTGTGAAAGATTGCAATTGAGCTCCAAACACCACTGGATCTCCCCGTACCCCCCTCCCTCCCCTCGCCGCCCAGCCCCCACCTCCCACCCCTCCTCCCGCCGCTGCCGCCGGCTGGCGTGGCCCGCGCGGCGCCGTGGCGGCCCTCTTCCTCTCCCCCTCGCGGTTCCCCGGCTCGGGCGGCGGTTTCCGGCGACGGTGCGCCTCGGCGGGCGGTGCTCCGGTGTAGATTGGGCGCAGATTCGGCCGCGGCGCGGCCCTTTGCCGGCCGGCGGAGCCCTGAAGGCCCAGATCTGGGCCCTTTTGGGCCCGATCCGGGTCAGGGCGGGTTGGTCTGGCCTCCGGCTAGGCTGGCAGGATGCGGTCGTTGGGATCGGCAGCTCTGCGCTGCGTCGGCTGCAGCAGGAGCTTAACGGGCCCGATCTGGGCCAGGCTAGGTAGGGGGTCCGGCGTGCTCCCGCGCCTGCGTCCGGTCTGCTACGACTTGTGCCAGTGGAGGTTGTCCCCTCCCACGTGGCTGTGGTGCTCCTGGTCCCTATCGGCGGTGGTCTCGTTTGGTTCGGCCGGCCTCGCAGCGTTTGCGGTGGAGAGACGACGGTGGTGTCCTCGTGACTGTGGTGGCGCTCGTTGGTGGGCGGTTGGCGTGGTGGAGCCGCCGGTTGGTCCTGGGTTGTGGGTATGAGGGGTAGGGCGAAATCCCTCTCGGGTCCGCCCGGCACCGACGCGGTGACGCCTGCGGGCGCCATCAACCTTCTTGAAGGGCCTCGGGAGTACCTCTCGCCCGCTTCCCTCCGTGTACCGGGAGAAATCCTAGGATTCGTCCGGGCAGCAGCGTCGTCCCCGTCGCAGTCCTTCTTGAAGGTGTTGCTTTGTTCGCGGCGACTCGATGGCATTGGAGCGTGGTGGATGTTTCCGGTGGGCGCAGCGGTTGCGGGATGCTTCAGCTTTCGTTCATCCGGTGCTACCGGCATTGCTTTTCTCTTGTTTTTCTTTTGGGCATGATTGTGCTGTTTGCCCCAGCATCGAACTTCTGGCTGTATCGGGTGGTTGCTATATTAATATAGCGGGGCACAAGCCTTTTTCGGTTTCGGTAATTAATTGCGTTTCCAGAAAAATAATGGGATAAAAACTGGATAAAATCCTTTTTTTGATTGAATCATGGATATCCAGCGTTGTCATCACCTTGCTTTT